TGTGGAAATTCCTCAAATTACTGCAAATGAAGCTACCATGTGACTCACTTCTAGGAATCTGCCCAAAGGACATAAAAACACGATTCAAAAGGAAACCTGCACCCCTATGTTCATTGAAGCACTATATACAGTAGCCAAGCTATGGAAAAAACCTAAATGCCCCCAAACAGATGACTGTATTTCCTCCCTTCTCACACCAACCACATTCACTCCTGGAAAGGCACAACGTTCCATTATGTGACTATCCATGGGTAGTACACACCTGCGTGGACCTTGAGGGGAGAGCCAGTGGACGATTTTACACAGAGCATGGAGCACGGCCCCACTGAGGGATCTGGTGACATTCTTATTACCTGTGCCCATGTAGGTCAGAGGCTGCTCAGCGCATCGGGTTATATAGCACCCACTTTGAGAAAATACTGTCACTTGGCATTCTGTCTTTTCTCACCTGGCTGTGCTAACTCTAGGGGAATATCTAGGCCTGAAACACTGCATCCACTGAGCAGCACCACCTGGCAAGAGAGCTGGGCTATGGCTGTCACAGTCAACCACTAGATGGCACTATTGTTTCGTATCCACCTTGAAGCCAAACTTGCAGGGCTGAAGGGCTGCAAAATTAAGGGCTTCCTTAATTTTCTAAATTCACTGGGGAGACCACATAGTAGACTGTTGTACTGGGAACACCCATAGTTAGGTGTTCCAAATGAATGCCCCTAAACTCACACCTCACCTCTCAAAAGACATCATACCATTAATAAAAAACCACTGGAAGTAACTGAGATGGCCTCCAGTTGGTGAATGGATAAATTGTGATTCATACAGATAATGGAATGCTATTCAGCACTAAAAAGAAATGCACTCTAGGGGCCTTCCCAGTGGTGCAGCGGTAGAGCGCTGGGTTGCGAAGCTGCCCGCGGCCTCTGAGGCGCCAGTTCGATCCCCGGCTGCTCCCCGGCCATCAGAGGAGGGTCCCACATGGCGCGCAGACCTCCCCTGCCGCCCGCTGCTCCCCTCAGCAGTGTACTTCGGTCCTTCTGCCTGCTCTGCTCCCCGCTCTGGCTCTGGTGAATTCTCTCACCCTCCCGAGCTTCTGACTGTACCCAGTGCATGTATAAACAAAACAAACAAACAAACAAATAAATAAAACATGCCTCTATTTAAAAAAAAAAAAGAAATGCACTCTAAAGCATGAAAAGATACGGTGACACCTTAAATGCATATTTAAGCCAATGTTAAAAGACTACATACTGTAGGATTCCAACCATATAACATTCTAGAAAATAAAACTGTAAAAATGACTGATTCCCAAGGGCTGGGAGGAGCAGGGATGAGTAGGCAGAGCACGAGAGGATGTTCAGGGCAACAAATCTACTGTGTGTGATAGTATGATGATGGACACGTCATTATACATTTGTCCAATACTAACTTCAACCTATTATGGTATAATGAAACAGAAGGATGGAGATTGATGCTTTGTCTATTTAATCAGATTTTAACACATCAAGGCCAACAAGCTGAATTCCTGATTTCACGTAATTTCTGGCATTCTTGAAACCCCAAGAGACTAGTTCCCATGGTGTAATGGTTACCACTTGGGACTCTGAATTCCTGAGTGACTAAAAGTTCCATGATTGCAAGAAATGACTGTTAAATCTAACCAGCTGAGCCCTGTAAATAACACTCAGACACAGCAATTGGATTTTTAGTTAATACCTGAATATTCACTTTCATAAATAACTGAGCATTAAAAATTTAAGTGAAAGTGTGTGTATGTGTGAGGGGCAGAGGGGGGCGGAAGACCAGGGAATGTCTTATGTGGGGGTGAATGTAATGAGGTCTTTGGGATGACTGTATCCTCAGGGGTGACTTTCTCTCCTGCAGATTGTGCTCCTCACTGTCACCACCCAACTACAGACATGTGTTTACATGACACCCTACCCAATGGCTGCCTCCAGGTCTGATGTTCACTATTTACACCAGGTTATTAGAAATTCACCGAGGTCCACGACTTCCCTTTAGCTGCTTTTTTATTTTTCTTTTGTGTTACATATGCTAAAAAAAACCCCTATAACATAAAAATTATCATCTTAGCCACTTTTAGGAGTACAGCTCAGTGATATTAAAAACGTTGCAGCCGGGCCTCCCTGGTGGCGCAAGGGGATAAGATGCAACGTATGAAGTTGTCTGCAGCCTCTGCAGCACGAGTTCGATCCTCGGCCAGCCAGGGAGCAACTCTCATGGCGCAGCAGACCTCTCCTATCTTGCCCACTGCTCCTTTCAGCAGTGTATTTCACTCAGTCTGCCTGTTCTGCTCTGAATCCTCTTTCCCCCACACCTCTGGCCTGTACCCCAGTTCTTGTATGCATAGATAAATAAATCTTAAAAAAAAATAAAAATAGGGCCTCCCTGGAGGCGCAGGGGTTGAGCGCTGGGCTGCGAAGCTGCCCGCAGCCTCTGCAACACCGGTTCGATCCCCAGCTGCTGGGCGAGGGTCCCACATGGCGCGCAGCCAGCAGACCTCTCCTGTCTCGCCCGCTGCTCCCCTCAGCAGTGTACTTCGGTCCTTCTGCCTGCTCTGCTCCCTGCTCTGGCTCTGGTGAATTCGCTCACCCTCCCGCGCTTCTGACTGTACCCAGTGCATGTATAAATAAATAAATAAATAGATAGATAGATAAATAAATAAATAAGTCTTTTTAAAAAAAGTAAAAATAAAAAATTGCAGCCATCACCACCATTCATTCTTCTAACTCTTTTTGATGAAACAGTAACTTCCAACTCTCTTTTCTGCCAGCTCCTGGCAGCTACCATTCTACTTTCTGTTGCTATGAATTTGACTAGTCTGAGCTCCTCACATAAATGGAATCATACAGTATTTGACCTTTTTTGTGTCTGGCTTATTTTGCATAGTGTAAGGTCCTCAGGGTTCATCCACGTTGAAGTAAATGTCAGAATTTCCTTCCTTTTTTAAAGATTTATTTTTATTTATTTATGCATACAAGGACTGGGGTGTAGGCCAGAGGTGCAGGGGTGAGAAGGTTCACCAGAGACAGAGTGGGGAGCAGAATAGGCCATTTACTGAAATACACTGCTGAGGGGAGTAGTGGGCAAGACAGGACAGGTCTGCTGCACTATGTGGGTCAGCTCCCTGGCTGGGAATTGAACGCATGCCAGTGGCTGAGAATAGCTTGATAGCACTGAGATTTTAACCCCTGAGCCACCATAGAGGCCCCAGAATTTCTTTCCTTTTTAGATTGAATAATATTCCATTCGTTGAATATACCATGTTTTCTTTATTCATTCGTCTGTCTATAGACGCTGGTTACTTCCACATTTTAGCTGTTGTGAAACTAATCGATTTTTTTTTATTCTATTGAAGTAACATCGGTTTACAACTCTGTATGTGATTCGAAGTCATAGGATCACACAACCTCAGGTACACGTCTCCATACCACAGCCTCCACCAACCATTCTCAGTCCTCACCCTACACCATTGGACCGCCTCCCCTCTTTGTTTTCCCAGCTTCCCCTCTCCATCTCATAGCTTCAGTTGCAGAGTGATATTTGTAGTGTTTGTAATTGCTTTTGTCTGACCCTTTGTTTTGTTTCTCTCCACCTTTAAGTGAAATATCTGGTAATTGTCTTTCTTCTTCTGACTTACTTCACTTAGCATTATCCTCTTCGCTTCCATCCCTGGCTAACTTCTTGACTTAAAGCAGGGGACTTCAGCCCTGGAGCTGGACTCATCTGATGATGCTCTCACCCAATGACGGCCTGTCCCAGATGAGCCCAGGTGGCACCATCCATGGTTGGTTACCCTCACCCTCTCCCGTACCTCATCCAGTGTCTTCTACTGAGATTTCCTCTTACTCTCCCGCTTGATCTCCTCTTCCTCCTCCTCCCAGACACCTGTCTCCAGGCACCCCACTTCTCCAGGCACCCCACTTTGGACTCAGTCTCTGCTCCCAGATCTCTGCTCACTTAATCCCACTCTATCCACCACTGTCCTCTGAAGAGACACTACCACCACGTGCCAGGACCTGATGCTCACTGAAGGAATGGCTTACATTTTAAAGTGTACTGACTGATGGTGTGTCTAAGCACCAGCTCACTCACCTGTTCGTAGCTCTGCCTGGCTGGCTGACCTTAAGGAAACCTCTGTGACAGCACAGTTCTGCCTTTCAGCCACATCTCCCAACCATCTTCCCGTGGGTACAAATTCTTAACTGATTTAAGCTCACAACAGACATATAGATACACAAACAGAAAAGATGAACAAACCACATACTCCGTCATGTCTTACCCAACAGAGACAAGACCAAATGACCAGTCCATGAAACCAAAAGAATTTGGTACCAGAAATCAACAAGACCTCAGAAAGAATCAAAATCAAATTCTTACCATGCTACCAATGGACAAGAAGTTGGACTCCCTGTGGGGTCCCTGGCTGCCAGGACGCTAGGGCAAAGTCCAATCCATGCCAGATTGGGGAATCAAAACCAGAGGGGGAAATGCATGTGGTGCTTACGGAGATTCTATTCAGGACACAGAGACAGGAAGAAAACTCACTAACTGGGAACACCTGCAAGGAAAGGGGGGCTTGGGTTTGTAGGGCAGGCACACAAAGGAGTTGGGAGGAAGGGCACACGTGGGGGCATGGTGACCCTTTGGGGGTTGCCCTTTCTCAGAACACAGAACCACTGCTGCCTTCCTAGAGCACAATATCTCGCGTCTGGCTTTAGGCTTGGTGGACTGTGTCTCCACTGAGTGTGTCTGTTGGGTGTGCTGGTGGAGGGTGGATGCGGCTGCAGAGTGTGCCTTTTGTAGGTCCATTGTGTGTGAGCATGTGTGTGTGCACATGCATGCACACGTGAGTGTGCCTGTGTGTGTTTTGGGATGGCTTCTGTAAGCCAATGTTTTTGTGCTGCAGGGTTGCGCCTGCCCTATGGTTTCTTTGTGGCCCACAGGGTGTGTGTGTGTGTGTGTGTGTGTATGTAGTGGCTGTCTATCTCGGTGTCTCTGGGTCTAGGTTACATATAGTGTTTCATGGAGTGGGTCTTTTCTTGTTTTTGTGTCTGCTGGAATGTGTGTGCGTGTGTGTGTGTGTCAGGGTAAGCATGCTACCCTATTCTCCTGTGGGCTGCCTATACATGTCTATTGCAGTGAAGTTGTCTCTGGTGTTTCTGTGGTTTTTTTTATGTATGTGTAGTGTCGCAGAGTATGTCTCTGTGCGTGTGCATTTTTTGAGTTGGAGAGGGAGTCTCTCATGTTTCTTTGTGTCCAGTTGGGTGTGTGGGTATATGTTGTAGTATGTGTGTCTGTCTTGGTACTTCTGTGGGTCTGGTGGTGTGTGTGTGGCTCTGTCTTTCTGTATGATGTATGTTGCATCCCCATTTGAAATTGGCTGAGTTTAGGCCTTCTCTAGTCCCACATTCCTCCTGCTCCTTTGTGCTCTGTGCTACAAAAAATATTTGCGTTTTCCACGACTCATAATTTTTCCTCCTCAATCGCTACCAGATGTGGGTCCTGTGGTCCCCATCCCCATGGCAACAGAGGTTCCAGCAGCTGTGGTTCCCTTTTGTGGCGCCTGCCCTGGGATCTGGCGCTGTGGCAGGCCCGAGGGGGTATGGTGGGAGGGGGTGACTGTGGAAGCAGAGGGATGTTGAGGGATCCCAGCAACTCCTCCCCAGTTGGCCACCTGCATAGTGTGGGGGGAGGGTGCTACTGGTAGACCGGGGTCGTTCTGCATTCAGGCCACAGCATTCAGCCCACAGAGGGGCAGGTGGCAGAGCTGCTGTCAGAATAGGAGGATATCTCCCTGTTCTGTGTGGCACCCACAGAGGGGTTCCTTAAGGCTAGAGCCTCAGACACCTGCACGGCTCCCACAGGAGGGGGAGGAAAAGCAATGTTGACATGACCACCCTGTTCCTCACTGGTCCAGACTGGGGAGAGAGGGGAAGCTAGAGCCAAGGGCAATGTGGCGCATTGTGGTGCTGGGGGGCACAGCAAAAGCCCGCTGCCCACCTTATTCCTCAGTCACTGCCCTGCTTCACTGGGCTCAGCCCAGCATTTCTCCCCTCGGGGGCGACTGTGAGTCTGTGGACACAACTCCAGTGGAAGCTGATGTGGCCCTTGAATGGATGGGAAGAGATGCAGAGCCATTGTTGAGAGGATGCCCACTGGCTTGAGATAAACAGCATGCCCTGGAGAAAGAAGTGCTGCTTGACTAGGCCAGATACAGAGACCGTGTATGCAAGCCTCGTCAGATGTCTCACCCATGGTATGAGGCCTTCTTCCCTCAGAAGACTGAGTCCCGGATGGGTCACTGAAGTTGGCCTCAATGTGGGATCCAGCCAGAAGGCAAGAGAATGGCCAGGTGAGAACCCTGAGCTGCCAGTCTTGGTCAGATTTCTGCATTGCCATGGGCTATAGGGCAGGGGTGGGGAGATAACTGGAGAATCTTAGTTGAATCTCTTGGTCAAAAGAGCTGAACATCAAAAGACAGGGAAGAGGGCCAACAGAGAGAGGCAGAGAAATGAGAGGGACCAGATGGACTTAGCTGTTGGAACCTAGTAGAAAGGATGGTGGGCTCCATAGAAAGGTAAGGCTTTATAGCTCAGAAAGGTCATCTGGGATGTACTCAAGGGCCAGAAGCAGAGCAGACACCAGGGGACAGATGGTCACACATAGAAGGCCAGGCCAGAGTGGGTATTGGCTGAGAGGCCAGGCAGCAAGCGGCTGCCTGCAAGGCCAGCCAAGACTCTGGGCCAGGCATGCTCCTTTCCCTCTCCCCCCCACCTCACCCAGGCAGGCGGGTGGATTGGTGAGTTTCCGCTGAGGACAAGGAGCCCATTGAGGCAGACAGCAGGGCTCTGTGTAGTGCCAGATTATCTAGTTTGTATCAGACAGGCCTGGCTGGAGGTTGTGCCCATGGCCCAATGCCCTCTGGTCCCGGTCCCTGATCCGCCCCAGCCACAACAAATGATTCTGAGCACACAGCATAAAGCAGCTGTCAGTGGTGAAAGTGCAGGTCTGAAGCAGCCCCGCACCAGCTATCTGCAGTCAAGTGACTCCGCCCCCTCTGTTTGTCTCAGGTGGCAAGTCCAGGATGAGGCATGCCAAGGTGGGTGCCCAATAAGGTTGACACACAAATGAATGAAGGGCAAATGCACACCACCAATGTCTATCATGGTCCTAAGAGAACCATAACTGGGCTCCCAGGCTCCACTTAGGTGGGGGTGTAGGGTGTGAATGCAGGCTGGAAGAGGGCACATGCAATTTCTTTTGGGGGACAGTCTTACTTGTACAAGGCCCAGCAGATGGGAAGCAGTCAGAACACTGAGGGGTGGGGTTAAGGCACTTTATTAAGAAAGCTTTGGCCAAGCCCCTGCTGGGATGAGCCCATCCTGGGGCCTATAAATACATCTCCTCAGGCCACTGGAGTTGTCCCTTGGATTCCGATGTGTGTGGGTGGTGGGAGGCCATCAAAACCAGCTGATAGCTGAAGGGCCAGTGCTGGTGGCACAGAGGTGCCCACAGAGGTGGGACAGCCAAGTCCAGGGTCACTGAGCCCCCTGAGGAGCAGAGACCAGCCCTCCTCCCCAGCTCCCAGTAACCAAATGCCCTGGGACTGGGCCCGGGGGAGTAGCCAGGACAGGTTCAAGGAAAGGAGCCTCCAGCCAGAGGCACCAGGCCCTGGCCAATGAGAGGCAGGCGGGGCAGAAGTGCTTCTGGCCTCAGCCAATGAGAAAGTAGCCCCAGTCAAGTGCAGGTTCGGCCAGCAAGAGGTGGGCTCTAGGTAGGACCCCCGCGGTCCTGGGCCTTTGAGATTCGGGCTGCTCGGGCTGCTCGGGCTGCTCAGAGCTTCAATTACTTGGCCAGTGGGGAGTCGCCCAGTAGACAACCGTAGGCCTTGACCAATGGGCTGAGCCTTCCGGCCAGAAGGCAAGACTCCAAATATTTGGGGCCTGAGCCAATGAGACACTGCCTCCCTCCAGGCTACCCGTGCCCGGGGGTGGGGGGTAGGGGGGTGAGGGGGTGTCTCAGAGACATCCTGGGAGAGGTCCGGAGAGCACGGAACGCGGGGTGACAAGCAGCGTTGCGAAGCCGAGGGAAGTTGCGGGCACCGCGGGCTGCCGCCTGCTACAGGGTAGGCGCGCCGGCCCTGCCCAGCTCGCCCGCCGCTTCCCGGCTCTTCTTGCGCGGGGGTTTCTGAATGGGGGTTTTCTTCCGGGGGGTGTCAGGCCCAGGTGGGCCAGTCGCCTCCTTCTCGACCCCCAGGACCTTGGGCTCGGGGACCGCGCGAGCCGGCGAGGCGGGCAGCACCGAACGTTTGGCCTTTTGCGGTGGCGCCGGCTTCTCTCGCGGCCCATGCGCGCCCAGGGCCCCCTCCGCGCGGCCCAGGCTTCGAGTCTTGCAGCGAAGCTCCGCCGCCAGCATGGAGGCCGCCTCCGGCGCGCTGAGCGGGGGTCCGCCAGCGTCCGTGGGCTCCGGGACTCCAGGGCCGCGGCCCCGCGCCCGAGCCCGCGGCGGCGAGGGAGCCGCGAAGGCCGGCCCCTCCTCCGCCAGCCCGGGGGCCGCGCGGCCGCGTCGCGGGCCTGGGGCAGCCCTGCTCCTCCGGCCTCGCGGAGGCGTCGCTGGGTGTCCGTTTCCTCTTGCTGGGACCGGGCGCGGCCTCGGGGCCCAGCGGCGGCGGCGAGGGTGAACAGGCGCCGTGCTTGCCGTGGATCCAGGACACCTTGGGCTTGGTGGCCGGGTCGGGTGGCGGCGGCTTCCTGCGCTCAGGCGAGGGCGAAAGCGACAGGCCTCCAGGATCCCCCGGGCCCGGGCCGGCCGGGCCTCGCGCCGGGCCACTCGCGCATACAGCGCCCCGCTAGGCCCTTCCACGCTGGACAGCGACCGCTCACTGTCGGAGGACGCGGGGAGGGGGGTCGCCTCCTCCACGCACTCTGCAGTGGTCAAGGACGTGGGGGAGGACGGCTCCGCAGGGCCGGTAGGGGCTTCCACATCCTGGCTTTGGCCTGTCGCCTCTGACAAGGGAAGAGCAGATCTGTCACCCACCCTCTCCTGGGAGAGCCGGGCTCCAACCAGCCGTAGTGGGCAAACCCTGGCCTCTCTTCTACCCGACTAGCTGCGTCCAGACTTACTGGCACACCCATAGCATCCACCACAAGCTTAGTTCCAATCCCAGTGCCATGAGCAGAGTCCGGGCCTAGGGTGTTAGCACCATGTCTAGCTGAAGCCCCAACCTTGGCCTAGCACAAATCCCCCACCACACCCCTCTGGAGGGGGGTCACCATCATCAAATTTGACCTCAAACACTTCTAAGGGGGTTCATAATCCTTCTTTAAGAAATAAAGCTTATGAAGCTTGGAGGTTAGTCACCTGCCCAAGGTCACCCAGAGAGTTGTCACTCAAGAGAGGTCAGAATCCAGCCAGTCTCCTTCCTGGTGTCTATGGACCAAGGTTTCAGGCGAAGTGTGCCCCCATATCCTATAGAACCTCCTCACCCCTTATGCCTACCCTCTTCTCTGCCACCTCCTACCAGGCCCAAATATTTCTCTCTGCTGATGTCCCCCAGAGGTGAGCCTGGGCTCTGGCTAGAGGCAGAGGAGCTCACCTGTTTCCCCAGACATAACCCAGCTTGGCCCCGAACAGCTCAAATCCAGCTCTGCATCAACAGCTGTGTCCAACCCCCAGTAAACAGCATTACCACCCCTCTCCCTGATGCTGTCTGTACCCTAGCACATTTTTTTTAGCTAGAACTTTTCACTGGGCTGGAAGGACGCTCAGGCAGAGTGGTACTCACCCTCGTGGGGCACACAGTATACAGGCCCTTCATCAGTGGTGTCGAAGGAGGAAAAGGAGGCCCTGGAGGACCATGATGGTGAGGGCTGCTCCAGGCCTGAGGGAGGCTCCAGGAAACTGCAGTTGAGTGTGTTATCCAGGTCGTGATGGGCCACTGGGGAAGGAGGGAGTCATAGCTGCCAGGGACCCCACCCTGCTCCAGCCTGTGCCCTCACTAGCCCTCCTGCCACAAACGATGGCGTGACCAAGACCAGCCCTACCCTAAGACAGTGGGTAGGACAAACAATTCAACAGTGGAGCGACACTAGACCAGGACTGGAGAACAAATGGGTAGAGGTGAACCCAGTAAAGAGAGGGAAGGAACAACATTTATACATATAAAGGTTCAATGTTACTGTGTGCAGCCAGATCCTGTAAAGGGTTGGCAGATGTGTTAGGGAAAGAGATAGTGCTAGGGAGAACACTTGGCTGGGTCTGGCCACCCAGGCCTATAAGTCATGCTTCAGACACTGCCTCCTGGCACCCAGGGAGCATTTGGAATATTTTTGAGCCCAAATTGCAATGACCAGGTTGCTCTTTGGTTCTGCCTACCTCAGCAGGCTATACCCCATAATGGGGGATCCCAACAGCTGACTGGTCTGTCTCCCATTCCACAGATGGGATGTGGGGTCCAGACCCCACACTTGTGTCCATAAATTCCACTCTGCTGGGTTTTCTCCAAGAAAGCCAAGAGGTTTTTTCAGCTGTCTTGATCTTTACCTCCTAGGACACTTTATCTCCTCCCCCTCATCTTGAGAAACAGGTGGGAAAGAGAGAGCAAGAGAGACCATGCCTGGTGTGTGCCATGCAGACAGATTAAGAGAAGCAGTACTGCCCCCTACACCTGGGTTCCGAGGTAGGGTGGGGGCTAAGATACCAGCCCGCCTACTTCACAGGAAGAACACAGGCGCTGCAGAGTATCCAAACAGTGCAGGATCCAGAGCGCATCCTCCAGCTCATTCCCAAGGTAGGAGTCCCAAGTGCACCTGCAGCTCCCCTCCAGGGCTTACAGTGTGCTCTTACAGACTGGAAGGGGGTTGCTCCACTGATGCAAAGAGAGGCCCCAAGGTCTCCCACAGCCCCCACACCTGCCTACACGCCTGGGACTCCTGCTTTACTCCCAGGGTCACCCGCACCCCCTCTATCCCTCCCTCTGGTTGCATCTCCTCACTCCAAACACTCAAGGTTCCCCGTTTCCTACACCGACCCCTTCACATTCATTTCCCAGCAGCCTCCAGCATCGGGAGGTTTTTTCCCCAGAGACCCCATGCCGGCAACCCTACCTACGACCTTGGGTAGCTTCTGCCTGCGGAGCGGGATCCGGGGCAACTTCATGCTAATGCGACTGAAGCGCCCGCACAGTCGTTGCGGCGCCTTCTTCCTCCCCAACGAGAGCTCCCTGCGGGGGCGGGGCCTGAATGAAGGGGCGGGGCTGGGACTAGGCCCGGGGAGGGAGGCCGGATCTCCAGCGCCCCGACGCGGCAGGGGGCCCTGAGCGAGAGAGGCGGGGCCCGGGCTGGAGCACCGGCCCCGCCCGGCCAGGTAAAGCGGGCCCAACCCTGGGGATAGCCGTGACCGCGTGGGGCCTCACCGGCGCGCGGGGTCCTTGCCGCGGCAGGCGCAGCAGCAGCCGAGCAGCGACAGCAGCAGGCCGAGGAGCAGGGCGAGCAGCGCGCCGGCGCCCATCACGCCCTTGCGCTGGTTGGTCTCTGTAAGGGGGCGCGGGATGAGCCCCGGCTCACATTCCTCTCCCACACCCCCGACAGAACTCCCCTCACCCACTCACCCAGGCGGCAGGCACCGGTGACCGGGTCGCACGAGTCTTCATGGCAACTGCAGATCTGGGCACAGTCCACGCCATGGAGTCCAGGCGGACACGTCAGGTTACAGCTGCGGGGGCGCAGGATCAAGGAGGGCGACAGCGGCTTGATGGCTCCGGTTCCACGCCCTGTTGCCAGCCAGCCCCGGTCCCAGAGCGGGTTCTCTAGCTCCATTCTCTAGGAATTGAAGTCCACCCCCACACCCCCAACCCTGGCACACTGGGCGATCACTGCTTTGGAAATGGATGTGTGCACAACCTGAGGGAGGAGGTCTGAGGGAAGGCTTGGCCGTGGTCACCCAGCTGCTGTGCCCATTTCTGGGGCTGCCATGTAGACTCTTGTGTACATGGGAGGAGGGGCTGCCAGATCAGACCCCTGGCCATATGTGGAGGTGCCTGCTCACGCTACCAGCTCAGAGTCACCTCGGCCCTACAGTCCTCAGGAGCCCACTGGTCACAGGCTGAACTGGTCGCCAGATCTCGCTGGAGTGCCGGCTCCACACCGAGGCAGGAAACTGCCCACAAAGAGCCTGCTGTCACTCCCTGAGGTAGTGGGGTAGGGGCTGTCACTCCCTGAGGTAGTGGGGTGGGCGTGGGGTTAAGACTGAGGACCAAGTCTGGGTCCCACCTCGTTGGCCACCACAGCAGTCAGTGCCTGGGTTCTGACTAGAGCGCTGGATCAGATACGTCCCCACCCCTAGCCCCTCTGGGTCCCCAGGCACTCACTGGGGCCCATGGACACCAGGGCTGCACAGGCAACGCCCAGACTGGAAGTCGCAGTGGCCGCTGCCGCAATCAGAGCACACGAATGCGCAGTCCTCGCCGTAAGTGCCATTGCTGCACTTGGTCTCGCACCTCGGAAGGCAGGGAGGAGGCGTCAACAAAACGGGGACGAATGGACCCCAAATATCACTGTGCCCTCCAGGGCTGGGGGTCTGCGATGCGGGCTCAGGCTGCTCACCGATCGCCAATCCAGCCCGCGTTGCAGCGCGTGCACTTGCCGGTGACGTGGTTACAAGCGTGACCGTCGCGGCATGGCGGGCAGCGGTGGCCACAGCCCTCGCCGTAGAAGCCTGTGGCGCACGGTTGGTCGCATTTGGTGCCGTTCCAGCCGGGCTCGCACGTCAGGCATCGGCCCTCTGCCACCGTACACGGCTGCTGGCCCTTGCACTGGCCGCATCTGGGAAAGGGGCGGGAGGCTAGGCGGAGCCGGGAGCCGCTGACCCCCCGACCCCCTGGCACCCGCGGCCCGCCTGCTCCCTCCACCCTCCTCAGCCCCGGGCCTGTGCTTACCGGCGGCGGCAGCCCAGGCCGTAAAAGCCAGCAGGGCACGGCTCTCGGCAGTACTTCCCGCGGTAGCCCGGCTCGCAGGCGCACGTACCATCCACAGGGTGGCAGCGGCCGCGGAAGCACTGACAGTAGCGCTCGCAGCGCGCCCCGAACGTGCGCTCCCTGCACTGACAGCGGCCGCTCTGTTGCTCGCACGGCGATGTGTTGCAGGCGCACTGATTATTGCAGCTGCGGCCCCACCACCCTGCGTGGCACAGGCACGCGCCCGTCTGCGGGTCGCAGCGCGACGTGGCGCTGCAATAGCACGCGCTGGCACACTGCGCGCCCCACCAGCCAGGCTCGCATCGACACGCGCCGCTCCGCGGGTGGCACGCGCCATGCTGGCACTGGCATGCATGCTCGCAGCGTGCGCCCCAGCGCCGCGCGTGACACGTGCACTGGCCCGTCACGTCTTCGCACTGCCCGTGCGGGTGGCAAATACAAAGCTCCTTGCAGTCGGGGCCCCAGAACTGGCGCGGGCACTCTACAGGGGAGAGTGAGAGGACCAGAGCGGGGACTCTCGTGAGACAGCCCAGACCCAGCTTGAACCTGCCCGCGTCCCACCCCCGGCTTTGGGGAACCGCCCCCAAACGGGACTGTGTGCTGGGACCAAACCCCACCCTACTCACAGGCCCCGCCTATTTCTCTAGGACCTCATCCCACTAGCAGCACCCTCCAGACCCACGCTCACTGGTGTCGCAGTTAGCACCGAAGTAGCCGTGCCGGCAGCGGCACTCGCCTGGCCGAACGCACACCTCGTTCTCCGAGCACGTGGAGTTGCCTTCACACACCGCTGCAGAGGAAAGGGGTCCAGACTGCCTTGTCTAGTTTCCACCTGCCCTTCCCTCTCCCCGGGTTTCCAAGATGCCCCACTCACCGATTCCACACTCATCCCCCTGCTGCCTCCAGCCGGTGCAGCACGTGGGTTCCTGGGAGCTGCAGACAGAGAGGGCACCTGAGCCTGACTCTCTTTCTCCTGCACCCTCTTCCAATCCCTGCTCTGCAAGGCTAGCAGCAAAGTCCACTAGACCTCTTTGCCTCTAAAGTTCCCATACTGCCCTTGGGAGGTGGTGACCTGTGTCCTTCCCAATGCCCACCAGGCTCGGTTGTAGGTTCAGACACTCCCTGAGTAAGACATACACAAATTCCTGTCACTGGCTCTGGGAGGCCACAGAAGGCAGATTACCAGCAGAGCTAACCTCCAGGAACTTCCTAGTTAGTGCCTTTTATACCTGAACCCCCCCCCTCCGACTTCACCACCCCCCTACTCCACTCTTCCCCCCACCCCCCCTCCCCGCCCCACCTAACTCCCATGGGTCCTCATCCCCATCTACCAGACCTGAGAAAACAGAGCCCAGGTGTCCCAGGAGAGGCAGCAGTGAGGTGGGGCCCGGGAGAGGTTCCCCAACCTCTAGGACCTGCTCAAGTAAAAGGGTCCAGGGCATCTCTGGAAGCTAGGGGATCAGCCAAATGGGTGAGGGGATCCAGATGTGAGGTGAACTGAACAGTGCCAGGACTGGCAGGACCAGGACACAACTGCAGGCCCAATTCGAGCTAAGCCAAAGGCAGATAGGCAAGCCGGTGTAAACACAGCGAATTGTTTGGAGGGGCAAGTGAGGAAGGAAAGTAAAACTGACTTCTAAGCACCAGGACAAGACTTGCAGGGATGAAGATATTAAAGCATCTATTTATACTTTTTACAATCTTATTTAATTTGGTTTTACAACATATATGACGTTACCTTGGTAGAAGGTTATAGTTTATGACTGTTGCACCCACAAAAGGGGGTAGCAGGTCATGTGGTCTCCAAAACCATGGGTTGGTAGGGTATGTAGACACAGGCTTGAAGGTCCTTTTCAGATGAACCCATTATCATTGGACAGGGTGCAGGTGAGGGCTGAGCTGGGATGTCCTCACATAAGCAACAGAGAGGAACTGCAAGGGCTAAACTAGGGTCTGCCTACATTTGGGGGGCACAGGAGGCTAGGAAGGAACAGATACTCAGGCTGTACATGCAGGTTCACAGGGTCTCATCAGATATGGAACTTCACCCAAATCCTAAGGAGTACAGACATTCACACTTTAAAGAAAAGGAATGTGCTTGTTCAGAAGGATCTGAATCTGGAGCCAGGATGTAGTGGTAGGAGGAAGTTAGGAGGGGACCTGAGGACCCTGGTGGGGTGAAACAGCTAGGAAGAGAAAGTCTGCCCCATATCATGGCCCACAAAAGATATGCTCCAACAATTCTCCAGCTCCAAACCATTCACCATACTCCACATGGCACCCCAACGCCCAGAGAGAGACCCCTCTCTTGGAAAGGGCTTGATTCTCCCTCAAGCCAAAGGTGTGGAACCCATAAAACCCAGAGCTGCGGGGAATGAGCCTAGCTTATTTTCCACAAATAAAACTGGAAATCAGAGACAGGAACATAAAACAGTCCTGACTTTTCCTGCTCCCAAAATTTGCACCCACCCAGCCCTACCCTAGGGCTCAGAGGTGCCCATCTGTGGGGAGACCCAAGTATGCGAGACCATCACCCTCCCACCTCTTCTGCCAGTTCTGAGCCGGGGTCTCTAGGTGGAGAGCTGCAAGTTCCTCCTACAGGCAGCCTGCTGGCATGACTGGCCTGCTGGCATGACTGGCCTGCTGGAAGAACCAGCTCCTGCCCTGGACAGACTGGCCCTGAGTCTCTGTGGTCAGGAGCCTGGTTTTTAGGACCACAGTTAGCTAGATTTTATGGCTACTTGCTTGGGCATGGAGCTTTCTCTAGCTTCAGACTTCTTATGTGTAGAATGGAGTCTGTGTTTGTTATGAACTAAGAGCTCAGTCAAAGCTATAGTCAGGTCTCCATCCATGCTGAGCAAGTTCCAGGGAACACCTGATTTCACAGTTCCCCCCAGAGTGGTGGTGACTAGACTCCACCCCAGCAGAGCTGACATGTGCCTGCAGGATGAAGCCCATGTGGGTTTCACCAAGAACATAAGGATTAGCCTGTGCGCAGCCACGTTTCCTTCTGATGAGACCTCAAAACTTTATGAAATTGAGATTTTTATGAAATTGGAGAAGGGTGGTCTGGTTCAGGGGGCTATTCCCACATTGAGTAGTAAGTCAGCAAGACCTAGATTGGGAGCCAAGCCACAGCCTGGGCCCAGATGCCTGAGCAAGGAGGCCACGCTGCAGGCTGCTCCTCTAGAGATCACTGTTACTATTATTGCAAACAAAGCCACTGTGATCTTAAACCTGCCCAGGCCACTGCAGCAAGCTCCCTAAGAGCTCAGCCATCTTCCTCCTGGCCTCCCCGAATTCTAACAACCCCCCTCTGCACTGGCCCTGCAGACAGAGGCCAACCTCATCACTTGTCTGGGTCTCCCCAGACCACCCTAATGGAACCAGCCCTCCTCAATTCAACACCTCTGCTTGCTCACCATGCCAGTATCTGTTCCCATTCGCTCCTCAATCCCTGCCATGACATCCGGGACCCCACCTGCCCTGCTCTCCTCCCAGTCCACCCCCCAGCTCCCAATACACTTCCTCCGGTTCCCACGCTCTTCCTCAGCTTTCTCCTCTCCTCTGTCCACAATAATTTCCTCAGGAAGCTCACTGCATCCCATTAAGACACTGACAATGCCCAGGGCCCTGCAGCAGACCCTCCCCCTCCAAACTGAACTCTTGGCCCCACCTGGAGTCTTCCCCATCTCGGGTAAGCCCTGTCCTTCCAGGCTGGAAGGCAGAAACCCTGCAGGCATCCCTGACTCTGCTCTCACTTTGTGTAGGGCACACCAGATCCACAAACACCTGGCTCTACCTTTCATACTAGATGTCGGATGGATGGACCACTTCTCTCCAGCCCTGCTTAGCCTGTGGGAACCACCTTCGCGCTTCCTGGTTTCTCCTCATTGACTTCCTAACTGGCCCCACTTCTGCCTCCCAGCTCCCAGGTCACCTGGCAGCCAAGCGATCAGACCCCAGCCTTCCTCTGTGCCCAGGGGTACCCATAGCCTCAGAGAAAGGGCCCAATTCTCAACAGTGGGCAGAGTCCTTGTGATCTGGCCAAGTTCATGCTCTGATCTCTGTACCATCTTCCTCCTGGCCTCCCCGAATTCTAACAACCCCCCTCTGCACTGGCCCTGCAGACAGAGGCCAACACTCATTACCTGTCTGGGTCTCCCCAGACCACCCTAAAGGAACCAGTCCTCCTCAATTCAACACCTCTGCCCCAGCACTTGCTGAATGTCAGACGACTAGTTGTCAGTCTCCTCCATGAACAGGGATGATTGTCTCCTGCTGTTGTATACATATATCCCTGAACAAAGTGAGGCCTGGGACATAGTAAGTGCATGGGATTTAAATGAGTGCACGCCCCCCTGGTCCTCCTGCATCCGGGGTGAAGAGACCCACTGTGGGAACATTTCCAGGACTAACCTGTAGCCTTAGGAAGATGACTAAAGAGATGGCTTGCCCCTGGGTAGGCAGTGCCCAGAGTGGCTGTGCTTCCCATTAACGAGCTACACACATGATCACAGTCATCCTCAACTCTGAGAGGTAGGGGCACCATCACCAAGCCCACTTCACAGAGGCAGAGGTGCCTGGAGAGGGCAAGTGGTTGGCCCAGGTCCACACTGGAGGGGAGAGGTGGCACCAGGATCTGAAACCCAAACCCTGGCTCTGGGCTACTGGAACTGGCCAGGTCTTCACCAGGAACTGGCCAAGTCTCCAGGCAAGGAACGGGAGAGACAGGCTCAGGCTCCCGACAGCTGGCGCCTGCCACGGGATCTCCGGGCACCGACCGTCATGGGGAAGCGGGGCTGAGGCACTGAGACCCGGCCTCGCGCCGATCGCGCCTTCCCTCCCTCCAGGCACCGCCCCGCCCGCCACCGCCGCTGCATTCCTGGGGCCAAGCAGGCCCGGGAGGCGGCGGCAGTGTGGATGCGAAGCAGATGGCGGGCCAGGCTGGCCCCCGCCCCGGAGGCGGGGCTCACAGCGGGGAGGGGTCTGCGCGCCTCGGGATCCGAGCTCGGAAACCCCGCGCAGCTCCTTGTCTACCGCGACCGCCAAGCCCCCAGACGCGGCCTCCTCCCGCCGGGTGGGTCAGGACGCCCCGAGGGGACCCTGCTAGGAGTCCCGTAGCCGCCCCTCCAGCTTCGGGCTCGGGCGGCACACCTTAACACGCGCCAAGGCACCCCTCGCACACCAGCTCCTTGCCCAGGCGCGGGAGATGCCCTTGACATCGCCCTTGCCTCTGACCTGCCAACTAGGTCTTCTGACCCCTGCGCCCACTCCTGGCGATACTGTCCTCCGCTCTTCGTCCTCCGCTGAAGGTCCTGGGCCTGCCATCCTTGGCCAGGGCCTGTCCCTTGTTTGTCCTGCTGGGTCCCCCAGCCGCTCCTCCTAGCGCCCCACCTCTGCTCGGCCCTGTGGTGCGCCCAGTATCCCCACCTGAGAGACCCACATCCTCTCCACCCAGTGCACATCATTGTCTTTTCGATTCCCGCTTCTGGGCCCCTCGGGGCACTAGCTCCTCCCTGCCCACCTCCATCGCCACGCTCCTAGCCGCGTGCACTCTAAGACACAAGTCTGTCCGCAGCACCCACTTCTCGAGGAGCTTCTCCATCTCCCCTCGACCCTCACCCTCCCTCCTGGCCGAGACACACTCGTGCCCGGGGGCTTGGCACATGCCATTCCTTCTGCTTCGAGCTCTTCCCGGGCTTTCCCCTCTGGCCTTCACAATCCGGATCAGGGTCCCTCTTTCTGGATCTGAACTCTCGGATACCGGGTCATCCTGCCGGCGCCCACTGCCTCTGGTCTCCCCGCAGCCGACTTCTCGCCCCGGGCATCCTCGGATGCACAGTCGTGGCACGGCGCCCAGCTCCGCCTGGAGCAGCCCGGCCGGTTGCCCGGTCGAAGGGGCCGGCGAGTTCGGCTCAGGGAGGTCCAGGGAGCCCCTCCCCGCCCCCGCCCCGAGCATGCCCCCTCCCCCCGTCCGGCCGGGCTCCTACCCCGGCGCGCGGCACACGTTGCGGCCGCGAGGGTTCAGCTCCTGGGGCGCCGCGGGGCCGGGTAGCAGCCAGAGCAGCAGCAGCAGCGGGAATGGCAGCAGCGGCGGCGGCGGCCCCCCGGCTCCCCGGCGCCGCTCCGGCCCGGCCCCCCGGGGCCCTGCGCCCTCCATGCGGCGCGGGGCAGGCGCGGGCGGGCGCGGGCGCGGGTGCGGCCGCAGCGAGAGCGGCCGGAAGCGGAGTGCGCGGCCGGGCGGGGGGCGGCAGGAGGGGCGCCGGGCCGGGCAGGAAATTCCACATCGGCTCCCTGATCCCGGGCCAGCCGCGGCCGGCCAGGCGGCAGCGCCCGCCCCAAGCGCCAGACCCCACCCTCCGGCCGTGCCACCACCCCTCCACGCAGCCCCCGCCCCCACGCGGCCGCCGGCAAACTTCGGGGCGAGCTTGCAGGCCTTCCGAGCGTTAGGAGAGGAGGAACCTTCGGGGCCACCGAGGAAATTCCCCAGCCTCGGCGCCTTTCCTCCCCTCCCCAGACACCCCACTGGAGAGGCCGTACCGCGCTTTCACTGAGCGGCCAAAGCCGGTGCGGGAAGTTGAGGGGGAGGTGAGGGTGTCACCCCCTTTCTCTCCTCAGGTCTCTAGCTCCTAGGAACAAGTGGGTTGGGGCGGCCCACAGATAGCCCACTACAAGGCCGGAAACCGGCCTCTGCTCCCCCACAGCGAGCCCTTGAAGTGCTCCAATGTGGGGTCACATCCACCTAAGCACCCAGTGCAATAGAAGCCTGCAAAGGAACTGCTGCAGGATGCTTCAGGTCTGTGGGGAGACCGTGTGAGCCCGAGGCCGACGGGAGGGGGTTTGCTTTGGAGGAGTTAGAGAGATGACCAGGACGTAGAATGGCCCAGGCATGGCGCCTATAGAAAGTGGAGGTAAACACAGGTAGGGCTTTACTTTAATAGGAGGCCAAGGGAGAGCTCATGCACTGAGACACCCCCCTTCCCCCCAATCCTGTCAAGGGAGAAAGGGAGCTGGGGAGCCTGGGAAAGGGACCATCTTTGAGAAGACTGTTGTTCTCATCAGAGGGAGAAATCCAGACAGTGAAGTGAGGGCTGGAGACTAGGGAGCTCTTGAATGAGGAGTAGGGAGATAGTACAAATCAGAGCGGCAGCAACCGGAAAGGTGAGGGGATAGTGGAAGAGAGGAATCCAGTCCGGGGAGAGCGGGGAGAGCGGGCGGGGAGCAGGGTTGCAGGAACTCTGGTCTGGGAAGCAGAGGAGTGCTTGTGGAGCAGGAAGGAGCAGGCCTGAGGATGGAACAAAATGGGCAAGGAAGCACTTGTCTTTTGAAGACTTGAGAACTGGCAGGGCAGCCTAAGCAGGGGAAGGACCTGAGGAGGCAGGAGGGCAGTTTCTCAGGAAAGGTCCCTTCCTTCCTCAGCTGTATGAAGGAGCCAACAGCAGTGGAGTATGGGGCTGGAGGAGGGGGTCTGTAACAAGGGCCACAGACAGGCCCAAGGCTGTGGGTATCTGGGCAAGAGGGCTAACAGCGCAGGCTGGCAGAGGGTGGCAAGGAGCCCCTCCCTGAACAGTGCTGGTGCAGGGTAGTGGCTAGAGCAGTGGGTGACGGGGGTGGGCTGGAAGGGGAAGTTGCAACTGTGAGGTCACAAATGCAAACACTTCTTGGCACAAGTAAACAGCCCAACCACTTCTGGGCAGCTCGGCTTGGGCATGACCCTGACCTCAGCAGCGCCCTCCCTGTGCTGGGGTCCCTCCCAGGGAGGCACACATTGGCTGCCACTAACAGAGGCCAGCAGAGGTCCATGTAACTGCAGTATCCATCCTAGAAGCTTGCGACAGCCCAGCCCCTGATTGAGAAACAGAGACCACGGGGCTGGAGGGGACACTCACCCCAACTGGACTGATTTCATGAAAAGGCACCTTAACTCCCAACACCTTCACCCAGACCTGCTCCTTACCTTAATTTTTTTTTTTTTTTTTTTTTTTGGTAAAGGGTACTACCTAGAGGATGTCCACCCCTCACACCCATCACTAACACCTCCTAAATGTTTCAGTGTTTTCTTTTTTTTTTTTTTTTTGAGGGGGAGGGTTGGGGGAAGGAAGTATTGCACTGGGGTGAGGATCACTGGTCTCAGCCCTATAGCATCCTGGGAAAGCAGCTCTACTTGCATGGGCTGTCTCAATAACAATTACCCTGTCCTGCCTCACTTCCCAGCACCCACCTTATAGCAGAAAGCCCTGCAATCAGACCACATGAGTTCAAATCTCAGGCCTTATTCCAAAACTGTGAGACCTTGGGTAAAGTCCTTACCTCTGCAGCCTAATCCTGCCTCTGCAAAAGGCTACATGGTTGCTAAGGATCCAGTAACCTTCAATGCTGGCAGTGCATCAAATTGTAAATTCCCAGGCCCTTATCCAGAACTGATCAGCCCCACCAAGGATGGAACCTGGAAATATGAATTCAAATTCCTGAAAAGTGTCTGGCACATTACCTCCTACCTCTCAATCAGGGGTTGCCGTCATTCTCAGGAAGAAATGATCAACCATTATTTCCATCTATGAAAGGTGTTCAGGACACAACTTCAAGCCCCAGAAAATAATCATGGAGGTTAAAATTGCAAATCCTTCAGTGCCCAACTGAGGGTTAGGGCCTGGCCTGCAGCTAGTTTGCCAGGGCCATCAAGTACCATGGAAAAAGCACTGCAGTCAGGGGATTAGGCAGTTTGGGGCTCAGTTTCAGCTTTAACCAGAATTTGGTGTGAGACCTTAGACAAGTCTGGTGAGTCCTGGGGGCTGGGGTAGAGTTCAGACACTGTGGGCTCCTGGGTTTGGGGGCTGCTCAGAGAAGATGGGACCCCTGAGTTCAGACTGGGGAGTCTCCAGGTCTTGGCATCCTCCCCAAGCCTAAGCCCTGCCAGTCTTTCGCTGGCCTCACATAGCTAGTGAGAATGCAGGCCATCCCTGGCAGCATGGGGGCACCTCCTCTACAAGGGAATTGGCAAAGTACCATCGACTGAGAGGTTCAGCGCCCTCCTATAGAGTGCAGTACAATGGTGTCTAAATGCCTCACCTCGGTGCCCTCTGCACCAGCCAAGTCAGCGGGCACTGCCATTCCAGAACATGGCACAGGAAGTGCTTGGAATTCATAGGCCCTGGGTTGGCTGCATAGCAAGTAACACTAGTGCCCTCAAGCTGGTGGCAAGCTTGACCAATATATTGGCCAGCTTACTGTTGGCTTGTGTCCACAGCTCCTGCCACCAGTCCACCACTAGGTGGTCTAGGTGTGTGAAGTTGAGGCACCAGCAGTAGTGGGCAGCTGAGGATGCCACTAAAATGTGGCTAGGGGTATGTCTTCAGCTAGGGCAGTAGTAGATTTGCCTGCAGGAAGGGGCTAATGTGGTTCATTTGCAGTAGCAGATTAAAGGGTTTATGGGTCTGGTCACGGGAACTGATCCTGGCATGGTGGATAAAATATGTCCAGCCACAAATCAGAGCTCAGGAAAGCAGAGGCAAAGGCCTGCACAGAGGCCAAACTGACCAAGTGCAAGACCATGAACATGGCTCATTGTTCCATGGGCATGGTGGCACATTCACTAGGTTGTAGCAGACAAGCACACAGGCATCCAGTAGCTTAGCCTCTGTGCTTGCTGCGCTTCCAGGTCCCCATCAGCCTGGATCACTGCCTGGTCACTGCCAACCCAATGGCACTGGCCTAGAAAGGTATCGGGTGCACCTCGGACTGAAAGCTCTGGGCAGGAAGAAGGCACCAAGCCTGGGACATAGGAGAGTGGGAGGCATGTCTAACTCTCCTCTTCTCCAGAGATCTTGGTGTCTGCAGCAGCTGCTGCCCTGGGCTGCAAGGTGGTGGCAGAAACAGAAAGTGCTGGCTCTGAGACCAGACCAGGGTCTTTATTCCAAGTCCATGGCAATCTCAGGCACAGGGAGACAACCCTGGAGAATGTGGCCATCCTCTCCCACTGGAGAGACTCACCAGGGCCAATGATGGGTTTGCCACCATGAAGTGCAAGTACAGAATGCCTCAATGGGGTGAGGGAGCAGGGACATGTTACCTCAGCAGTACCGGACCCCAAAAGCCAATGAGGCAGGTCACTTCTCACCGTGGGACAGAGAGATGCTCCCACTGGTGTTACATGCCATCTCCTAAATCCTTAAGGGGTCCAGAAAGAAGAGCCCAGAGTACCTGTCTGTTCTTGTCTCCCCACCCTCTTCTTCCCAGCTAGCAGCACATGCTATACCCCACTCCCTCTCTCCCATGGCAGCAGGCTCTAGAAGGCACCAGGGGACAGAGAGAAAACCCACTCACCTGCGGCAGCCTCTGCCGCTGAACGCCAGTGAACTTACTGGAAAGAGGGAGGCTTTCACTCAGACACATCAGAGTGAGTAAGACCCCCTTCCCCTGTGCGCTGGACTGGACAGTCAATGACGGGTAAGATCGGGGGCAGACTAAAGAAGGCACTGGCCAGCCTCATGTCTGTGACTCCTGACGACCTAAGACAGGCGCAGTCCCCGAGGGGCTTCATCATGATAAACTTTGGCGTTCAGATCAAACAAGGCACACATGCCTATAAGCCTAATTTAGGCAACAAGCCCGCAGTAATTAACCCCTCCTTTGATGGAAACAAGGCTGCTAAGAACGTCACCTGCAAACAAGCCTGATGGAATTACCTACAAAGCAGTTTTTTTTTTTTTTTTTTTTTTTATAGAGGCATGCTTTATTTATTTGTTTGCTGGTTTGTTTGTTTGTTTTGTTTATACATGCACTGGGTACAGTCAGAAGCGCGGGAGGGTGAGAGAATTCACCAGAGCCAGAGCGGGGAGCAGAGCAGGCAGAAGGACCGAAGTACACTGCTGAGGGGAGCAGCGGGCGGCAGGAGAGGTCTGCACGCCATGTGGGACCCTCCTCTGGTGGCCGGGGAGCAGCCGGGGATCGAACCGGCGCCGCAGAGGCCCCGGGCAGCTTCGCAACCCAGCGCTCAACCGCTGCGCCACCGGGGAGGCCCACCTACAAAGCAGTTTTACCATTAATCAGATAGCCATTGTTTCAGAATAAGTAGCAACCTGTCTATAATCATACTACTTTTTCACTAACTTTGCTTTTTCTTTATATGTGTACAATCAGTTTCAGGAAATGCATGATAAAGAAAATAGTGTGTGGCAATAGTAGTTTTATAATAATCATAATACTTCTCACATGAGACACCATAAAAATCAAAATGCTTCCGTAGAGAATATATTGCTCGTGATCACTAAAAGTAGAAAGTGCCAGTAGGTAAATATCAATGTTTTTGATCATTGTGGTCTTGGGAAACAAATCAAGAAAAGCTAGCTTAAAGAATGCTGTTCGGTGTAAGTAAAAATGATTGTGTAGATTCAGTACTTTGAGATCGTTTACTGTGCCATGTCATGGATCAGCGATCACATGCACATGAATAATGAAGTAGATGTCTTATGCCTTACAAAGTATTTTATGCTGAGAAAGAATTAAATTGTATGAAATCATCTATTGTTGGAAATGGTATAAAAGTGTATGATTTTGAGCAAATTACATTCAGATCTTCACTCTTGAAGTGTGTCTGTTTGTCATTTGTGTGTCTGTCTGTCATTTATGCGCCGATTCCTTGAGCATCCTCACAGTTTCTCAATCCTGAGACAGTCCTGCAAGTCTACCGCTGCGCTGGTCCGCGGCACTCACCCTCTATGTTCTGCCCAGCTGACAAGAGGGCAGGACCTCAAGAAGTCACAGCCCTGTCAAACCACTTGTTTAAGGTGCCAGGCAGGGTGGCCTGCAGTGTTTATTGATAGGAAGGCATTCAGATCGATGCTCAATTATGCTGAAGTGAGGTTGGTGCCAGGACCCCAGCCCACCTAACTGGTAGCCCTAAGAGGATCCCTCCACTGTACCAGCGAGGCCCTAAGACAATGTGTGAAGAATGACCTGGTCCAGATCCTACCTCCTACCACCCACACAGACCCAAGAGAGCCAGAAAGGCCATCCTGGTTTCCCACTGCCATCTTTCCCCTCTAACACTGGCCCCATGGTTCTCGCTGGAATTGTCAAACTCCTCCCAATCATTCAGTAGGGTCCCCCTCCCTTCTTTAGACCACAGGTCCAGCCCCTGTATCCTGCTGTAGCCGCCCTCCCAGGTGCTGAGGCTTCTTCCAGAACCCCTCAGGCTCGGGTTTACTCAGGGCCAGGAGCTAGCTAACTGGAGGTGACCGAAGTTCAGAGAAGAGCTCCTCACCAGAGAGCTTGGTGCTCAGGTGGCCAGGGACCACGCATCACCAGTGTCCAGTGGGAGTGGGGGGATGTGGGGGTTTCTCAGTGCTCTTCCCATGGAGGCAGGCTCTGGGCCTCCTGTTGTCTCTTTTTGCTCCCAAACCAGGCCTTTGTCCCCAGCATTGACTCCAGAAATCTGTGCTTCTGGTACTGCAGCCTTGGTCAAGCTGTGAAAGGAAGTTCCAGGGAAACAATTCACACCTTTTTGTAATATGATTTATTTAATTTATCAACAAGATGGGATTAGAAAAGCCCAGCTGTACGGGGATATTTATCACTAGAACCAGTCTCACGCAACTTTATGTGTCTCTGTACCTCCCGGGCCCCTGGCAGCACGCAGTCACTCAAGCCACTGCTGTGGGGCAGGATAATGGCTCATCTCGTCACCCTACCTGCCCACAGTGTGCCTCGGCTCCCCACATGGTCCCAAGGTCCCAAGGTCCCACTGGAGAAGGCACCTTTCAAGGGCCAGCCAGGGAGCAGGAAGGCCGAGACAGCTGGCGATGGTGTGCCCCGTCCAGGTTGAGGAGTGGGTCTGGTCAACTCAGAGGACAACAGCCCTCTCTGAACATTTCCCACTATAGGGGAATCCACAGCTCAGGGGTGCAGCCCCATGAATACCTGCAGCGGGCCAGCAGAGGGGCTGCTGTGAAGAAAGGGTGGCAGGAGCGTGGGGAACAGTACTCTGGGTCTAGGCCAACCTGGGTTCCCACCGCCCCCGTACTCCTGCCATCTCTCCCCTCTAACATTGGCCCCAGGGCCCTAGTCCTCGCTGGAGTTGTCAAACTCCTCCCAGTCAGAAACACTCATCACCTCAGAGGCAAAATCTGGATCAGCCTGGCTGCGGTGGGGGGTCCCTCGGGGCTGTTCGAGGAGCAGAGAGCGGGGCAGGGTTAGCACACAGGCTGCGAGGCCTGAGATGGAATTGTCCAGCTGGGGCCCCTCCTCCCAGCAGTCCTTCCCCACGTCGTAGATGTGCACATAGGCGGTGCGGCTGCCACGGTTGTGCGAGCGACCACCCAGCACGTAGATCCTGTTGTCCAGCACGGCAATGCCAGGTTCACCATGCCCCGCTGGGAGTGGGCAGACTGATGACCACTGCCCAGATGTGCAGCTGTAGCAGGCCACCTGCAAAGCCAAGACTGGAATAAAGCTGGGCACCCGCTGGGACAGGGATGACAACATTCAACTGGCCAGGCACTTGACTCACACCAAGGTTGACAAATGTGGCAGGCGTGTGGGCAAACCTACCCCTGGAGGGAGCCTTGGGCCAGGATCAAAATGTCCTGTTTATAGGCCAGCTTAACACTGGCTGACTCCAGGCTCTTCTGCGAGCCTATGGCCCCCAGGTGTGCATGCTGTTATTTTTCCATAACCTGGGGTACCAGTCCTCACCCTTCCACAAGATGGAAGCTAACTGAGGACATGAGCCCGACATAACTGTCTTTACCTTCTCCATGGCATCCAACGCCAGAGGAAAGTGCAGGTAAACTGTGCTACTAATTATTAGCTGTCTAAAGTGACTATCAATGTTCTCTTCTAAATTAGTCCAAACGTTAAACAAGTACATGGGAAAGAAATTTAATCTATTATTGATCCAAGCCATGTAAAATAAAACACCAAGACTGAATTTTTAACTAACTAGCAGCCACTAGGGTAAGAAAAGTCATAAATCCCAGTGCTGGTGGAGGTGTAGTGAAGTTCTCTGACATGCCAGGAAAACAATTTGGCAATATGTATTAAGAACCATAGAAATCTTTTACTTTTTACTTAACTGCCTCTGGCTCTCCAGCTGTAGTAGGAAGAACATCAGCCTCCAAAGAAGCCCATGCCCTAATCTTTGGAACTTGTAAGTGTTGCTTTATATGGCAAAAAGGATTATACAGATTTGTCTAAGGATAGAATAGGGATCTCCTAAAGCTCCTCAGAGATGAGGAAGGTTATCCTAAATTTTCCCAGTGGGATATCTACTGAGTTGTTGGAAAAGTCATGATGTATTTTTTTCCTCCAATAACCCAGTATTTGCAAGAGTCCTTGACAGTAGAAAGGGAAGGCCAGACAGGAGAAATGAGAAGGGAGAAGGACAACCTGCTGCTGTTGTCTTTGAAGATGAAGCAGCCCTGTGCCAGGGAACACAGAGGCCCCGAGAAGATGAGAAGAGCCTCTCGCACCATCAGAAAGGAAATTCCTACAACCGCAAGGGATTAAATTCCAACAACCTGAGTGAACAAGGAATAAGATTCTCCCGAAGGCCTATGAAAAAAGGAGCCCTGAAGGCACCTTGAATTATTATAGACCTAAATTTAAAAATATAATACAGAATTTAATTAATTAATTAATTAAATTCTGTATACATACAGAATTAAAAAATATATTTGCATTATTTTAAGTTGCTACATTTATGGTGACTTGTTCCTGCAACAACAGGAAATGAATACACTAGCTCAGTTGTCGTCATTGGGTGGACATGGGGGTTCCTGTTAACACAGATTGCTGAGCATCACGCCTGAAACTTCCAATTCAGTGGTGGGGATCTGAGAATCTGCTTTCTAAACAAGTTTCATGGGAGTGTGGAAACTGTTTTGAGAACCAAGGCTGTAACCTAAGGAAATAATCCAAATTATGTGAAAATATTCAACTATTATTTTCAATGTTATTTGGAATAATTCAGAACTACCCAAATGATGCAGCGGTCTGACAGTGCACAGTAAGTGGAATTTGGGGTACAGAGGTAGATTTCATATTGAACTGGCAAACACTTACAAATTTAACTTCAGCCAGAATAGAATGGGATACTTCTAGCTACAATTAGGTGATAATGATGCGTAGGTAAAAGAATTTAAAAACAGTGGCACACTACGGGATTTGCACATCAAAGACATCTTTACAGACACATCACCCAAAGCAGTGATAGTGAAGAGAAAGATAAACAGCTGGGACTACATCAAATTAAAGAGCTTCTGCACAGCAAAAGAGACAATAACAAAAACAAAGAGAAACCCCACCAACTGGGAGAACATTTTTGCACCCAACACTAATGATAAAGGACTGATCACAAAAATCTGCAAAGAGCTGATGAGACTCAGCAACAACAAAGAAAATAATCCAGTCAAAAAATGGGCAGAAGAGCTAAAAAGAAACTTCTCTGAAGAGGAAATGCAAATGGCCAACAGACATATGAAAAAATGTTCAACATCACTTGTAATCAGGGAAATGCAAATCAAAACTACCATGAGATACCATCTCACACCAGTGAGAATGGCACATATTAAAAAAACTAGCAACAACAAATGTTGGCGAGGATGTGGAGAAAAAGGAACTCTTGTGCACTGTTGGTGGGAGTGCAAACTGGTCCAACCACTATGGAGAGCTGTGTGGAGATTTCTGGACCTACTAAACATAGAGCTTCCATATGATCCAGCAATTCCACTCCTAGGTATTTACCCAAAGGACACAGAAACATCAATTCCAAAGAGCACCTGCACTCCTATGTTTATAGCAGCACTGTTTACAATAGCTAAGCTTTGGAAACAACCCAAATGCCCAAAAATAGATGACTGGATCAAGAAGATGTGGTACATATATACCATGGAATATTACTCAGCATTCAAAAAAGATAAACACATGCAATTTGCAGCAACATGGATGGCACTGGAAGGGATCATGCTCAGCGAAATAAGCCAAAAAGAAAAAGAAAAATACCGGATGGTCTCACTCATAGCAGGAATCTAGAAAACTTAAATAAGGGACCAGGAAAATGAATATAAGAAAGTGAAAATCAAAATCAACAAAAAAACTATGAACCAGAGACACTTTTTGGGGGTGGGGGGGCGGAAGGGGAAGGATTGGGGTCAGAATGGGGCGTTTGCAATTGTATGGGGGAATATAAAAATAAAATTTAATATTTAAAAAAAAAAAAATAAATAAAAACAGTGGCACAGGGGCTGGATTATGAGTATTATTCCTCACCCTGGTCCACTTTTAAAAAATTCTGTAATTGTGATTATATGAGTTTCATAATTAAAGCTCTTAATAAAAACAAGTGAAACCATTCTATATGTTACTATAATGGTGATTACATGTCATTATTCAAATCCATAGGATGTACAATCCCAGAGTAAATCCTAATGCAAACTGAACTTTAGGTGATAATGATGAGTCAAGGTAGGTGCATTAACTGTAACAAATGGATCACTCTGGAGGGGGCGCAGTGTGGGATATGAGAATCCTCTGAACTTTTCTGCTCTATTTTGCTGTGAAGTTAAAAACTGTTTTTAAAAGTAATGCCTATTTTTAAAGTGTATGCATTTCTATTAGCTTTTCATCAATAATAATTGCAAGAAATGGGAATAAATGAAGTGTGTGTTCATACAAGCAGCCCCCCACTCACCTGGTGCACATCCCTCCTGTAGCCAGCATCATTGTTGCTACCCCCAATCACGTACAGCTTCTCCAGGAGGGTGGCCATGCCATGCCAGGCCCGCCGCACAGGCCCTTCAGCCAGAGTGTGCCAGGTATTGCTGTCAGGGTCATAGCAGTGTGTCTCCTTTAAGTAGTCCTCCCCTCTCCGGCCGCAGGTAATATACATCTTCCCCTCCAGCGTGGCGCCTGCATGGGCGTATACCTGTGTAGTGTCATCAAGAGAACCAAAGGTAGGTGGGGAGGGGCAAGAGGACTGTGAGGGAAGATGGCCAGGAGCCATGGCTGCCCAATTCTTCATGGCTTTGTCAACTTCCTCCTCATATTCTGACAAGAATGTTCCTGGATTCTTGCTGGTCATCCTGTCCTCGACATCCACCCCAACATCTATGTCCATGGACCCAAAGATAAACCTCATGCTCCCACAAGGAGAACGGAATCTTTATTTTCCCATGCTCCTAAGGGACATATCTGCACAGCGATCAATCAAAGCATCACTTTCAGAGTTAGTCATGAGAGAAGGGACAGCACTTCTGAGCTTCTGACCCACCTTCAGTGGCTTTCATCTCTTCCCCGCTCCCAACAGCAAGCAATAGTATAGACCTGCAGACCTCACTTTAAAAATCTGTTGGCAAAAAAATGTCTAATGACATAGTGAGGGGAATAGTGAGATGCAAAATCAAACATAAACAATAAAACAAGAAGTACAATGCCACGTTAGTGATGGGTAACGTGGAGGAAGAAAACACCACCCTGCTCTTGATTTATGCTTGATTTCTACTGCACCCCAATGGCGATCTCCTTGCTGCCCTGCCAGACCCACCACGTGCACCCTTCTTGCTGGCCTCCTGCCTCCTTTTTCACAGCACATAAGTCAAACTGACCCTGAGCAAGGCCCTCCATGCTGTGCCCATGACCCCCAGGCAGGGTACTGTGTGTTCTTAGGGAAGAGGATTTCACAGGGTGTGGAAGATTCAGAGTTTGTACAGGAACAACCACTGAGAGTGTGTTATCACAACAACAGTGTGGAAAGGGAGAAAGGCAGGGCTCAGAGCAGTGGGTAGAACACACATTAAAATTTTTGAATCTTCTCCTATCAATGGTAGGGAGCTGGGGAGGGTGTCTTTTCTTTCTTTTTTTTTTAAGATTTATTTATTTAAACAAGAACTGGGGTACAGACCAGATGTGCGGGAGGGTGAGAGGATTCACCAGTGACAGAGCGGGGAACAAAACAGGCAGACTGATGAAATACACTGCTGAGGGGAGCAGCGGGTGAGACAGGAGAGGTCTGCTGCGCCATGTGGGCTTCTCCCCCGCCGGCTGGGATCGAACCCCCACTGCAGAGGCTGTAGACAGTTTCACAGAGCTGTGCTCAACCGCCTGCACCACCAGGAGAGACCCGGGTTTCTTTTTTTAATTAAACTTTTTATTTGATATAAGTGTACATTCACATGTAATTGTAAGAAAGAGTAGAATGCAACAAGATGACAGCAAAGAGAATACCCTGGTATGTATTCTCCATATACTAACAACTAAATTGCAGCAGAACAAAGTCAAAACCCCTGAAAAATAAATGGATGGCTACATACACACCAGGAGCAACTGTAAAAAGGGGTAGGAAAAACTTTAATTGAACTGTGTTTACAGAAATACCAGAGCAGTACAACCCACAAGAAGGAGGGGTGGCAGCTGTCCAGAGTGCCCTTACTGTTGTTGACTCATGGTCACATAACCACATTGGAGACTTTGGAAATGCCACACTTTGATGGGGGTGGAGAGGAGGGTTGCATATAGTTGGTGTCTGGGTCATAGAATGCACTACTGGAGAACTATAGGAGCAAGTATGCAGAGTGATGATTACTGACTTGAGCCTGAAGTTCCCAATATGGAACAGCTGGAACATAAATATAGGCGCCAAGATGGATCACCTATGTCTCCTCATAGACAAGGCCTTGTGGTTTGAGGCTGGGATATTCAAAACACCTGCCAAGGTATACACCTAACTGCCACCCTAAGGGCGAAAACTGACATAACTGAACATGTACACTAACCAGAGTTCGAGTACCTGTTAACAACAGAAGCAGACACCCCAGGAGAAGGCTCTGTATGGGAAAAGAATAGAGAACAACTCCCTGGATGGGACCCTTTCTCAACTACAATTTGTGGCCAGCACTGTATCCAGTGCTTAAACATAGCCTAGAGGTGGAAGCTGGCATAAGACTATATGAGACAATTAGGTAATAAGAGATACAGTTGGTGGGCCTCCCTGGTGGAACAAGGGGTTAAGTCTCAGCACTATCAGCTATCAGCAGCCACTGCAACACAAGTTCGATCCCTGGCTAGGGAGCTAACCCACATGGTACAGCAGACCTCTCCTGTCTCGCCCGCTGCTCCCCTCAGTAGTGTGTATCAGTAGATCCTCCTGTTCTGCTCCCCACTCTGCCTCTGGTGAATTTTCTTACCCCCCAGCTCTTGTATGCATAAATAAATAAATCTTTTATAGAAAAAGAGAGATACAGTTGGTAACTATATTATGATTAAGGGGGTAACACAAGAAAAAACACTCATAACATAGTGTGGAACAACCAGATACATAAGACAATAACAAAACTGAAGAGATATAATGCAACAACACAATACTAGGGGATTTTAATATACCACTTATAATTATGAATAAATCAAGACAGAATAAGGAAACAATAGCCTTAAATGAGATGCTAGAGAAGAATAGGTTTTAACAGACATCTACAGAACACTGCACGCAAAAGACACTGCGTTCACATTTTTTTCAAGCGCACGTGGAACATTTTCAAGACTAGACCATATACTGGGAAACAAGTTAATTGCCAATAAAACTACTAAGATCAAAATCATAGCAAGTATTCTCCCTGAAAAGAATGCTATACAGCTAGAAATCAAGTATTTTAAAAAACAACAGGAAAACTTTACAGTTTTGTTTAATAGCTACTGGATAAAAGAAGAAACTAAAACAAATAAAAAAAAATACCTTGAGACTAAAGAAAATGATGATACAAGCTACCATAATCTGTGGGTTGTAGCAAAAATGGTCTTATGGGGGGAAGATAACTACAATACAGGCCCACAGTAAGAAGCAAGAAATAATACAAACAAACAATCTAATACTGTAGCTAAAGTACCTTGAAAAGGAAGATCAAGCAAGATCCAAAGTTTGTAGATGGAAAGAAATAATAAAATTAATTAATAAATAATAAATTAAATTAAATTAAATAGATATATAAAAGACTATATAAAAAAAGTCAATGAAAGTAAAGTAAGAGTTGGTCTTTTGAGAAGATAAACAAAACAAACTTCTAGCCACGCTAACAAAGACAGAGAAAGAGAACATCAATAAACAGAATCACAAATGAAAGAGGAGAAATCACCACAGATAGCAGAGAAATACAAGGTTATAAGAGATTACTAAGAACAACTATATGCCAATAAATTCAATAACTTTGAAGAAATGAACACATTTCTATATCAACTAAGACTAAGCCAGGAAGAACCAGATAAGTTGAAGAAACCATTCACAAGCATGGATAAAAAATCTTCCAAAAAACTAAAGTCCAGGACCAAATGGCTTTACAAATGAATTTTATCAAATTTGCTTAAATTGTTTTAAGAATATAAAGAATGCTCCCTAATACATTTTATGATGCCAACATTACCTAATACTGAAACCAGACAAAGCAGCAGAAAAAGGGAAAATAATAGACCAATATCCTGCTGAAAATTGATCCAAAAATTTTCAATAAAATCCAAAAATCATCAACAAAATACTAGCAACTCGAATTCAACAGTGTATCACAAAGGTTATACACCACGATCAAATGGGACCCCAGGGATTCCAGCATGATTTAATATACATATATCAATTAATATACTATATCTTATCAACAAAAGTAAAGATAAAATCATGGTACAATCAATAGATGCAGACAGAATGCATTTATTTATGCATTTGATAAGATTTAGCACCCATTTATGATAAAAACTCTATATAAGATGGGAACAGAAGGAACCTATCTCAATACAATAAAAGCCATATAGCACAAACCAACAACCAATATAATACTGAATGGTGAAAAACTGAAAGTTCTCCCCTTAAGACCAGGAATAAGACAAGGAGACCCACTGTCCTTACTTCCGTTTTGGCTAGAGCTATCAGACAAAACAGGAAATAAAAGGATTCCAAGTCAGAAAAGAAGTGAGACTAACACTATCCACACATGACGTATTATATATAAGAGTCTAAAATCCTCAACCAAATAAACCATTAGAAACACTATAGCAAAGTGGCAGGTCATAAAACTAACAAATATAAATCTGTATGTTGCATTTTTATACACAAACAGCAAATGATAAGAATAAAAAAATCAAGAAACTAACACCATTTATAGTTGCTTCAAATACAATTAAATACCTTGGAATTAACCTAATTGAGGAGGTGAAGGACCTATTCAATAAGAATTGTAAGTTGTTATTAAAGTACTTACTGGCATAAGGAGATGGAGGGACATCCCATGCTCATGAATGGGAAGAATCAGTAAAATCAAAATGACTACCCTGCCTAAAGCAGTACATAAATTTAATGCAATCTCCATCAAAATACGAACAATATATTTCAAAGAAATACTGAAATTTATATGGAATTATAAAAAGCCTTAAACAGCAAAAGCAATCTTGAGATAGGGGTCTCCCTGGTGGCGCAGTGGTTGAGCACTGGGTTGCAAGGCTGCCCACAGCCTCTACGGTGCCGGTTCGATCCCTGGCTGCTCCCAGGCCACCGGAGAAGGGTCCCACATGGCGCGCAGACCTCTCCTGCCGCCCGCTGCTCCCCTCAGCAGTGTACTTCGATCCTTCTGCCTGTTCTGCTACCTGCTCTGGTGAATTCTCTCACCCTTCCACACTTCTGACTCTACCCAGTGGTTGTATCAATTAATCAATAAATAAATCTTGAAAAAAAAATTAAAAAAAAAAAGCAATCTTGAGATAAAAGGAAAGAACTGGGGACATTATGTCACCTTACTAAAAGCAACATGGTATTGGCATAGAAATAGGTTCTTGAATCAATAATGAAACAGAATGCAAAACCCAGAAATGAATCTATGTACATGTCAGTATTAATCTGTGATACAGCAGCCACACCATACAGTGTGTAAAGGAGAGTCTCTTTAATAAATG